TTATTTTAAATTCAGTTTGTTAGGAATTAAACTGATAAACAGTGATGCATCAATTGCCGACCTAGCCAGCTGATATCTCTCAATAGTTGTCATTCTTCTGGCAAAGAATCGCGAGAGAATTCGAGACATTTCTCTTTTTTCGAAGGAATCAGAAAATTAGGAATTTTTGTAAATAGCAAAAAACTCGTGGATTTTCAAGATTAAAATTAATCCTTTTTCTAATGATAGAAATTGAAAACTTATCATAACTTTCTCGTGTACGCGCGCATGTTTTTATTGAAGAAAGCCGATTTTAAAGTGGAACCTTCCTGATCAAGATTTTGAAAATTTAATAATCTATGTCTTTAATAAGCATATAAATTGCATATTTGCTATTTACATTATTATACAACACAATATTTCATTTATTTATTATACATTATGAATTGTAATTCTAATATTACAATTTCAAGTTCTTCAAAAGATTTGCATCTTCAAAGATTTTTTAACTCGAAATTCGATGAATTTTTGGAATTTATAGATCAATAGAATTTAATAGGATTTAATAAGATTTAATAAATCAATAGAGAGGAATTGTCGTAAAAAAGAAAAATACTGTTGTACCGATTAGCTTTATATTTTGTATATTTATTTTCAGTAAAAATATGCACAGAAAAATATTTTGAAATAATCTGAATCTTTATAATTATATAATTACCTTACTCGCTGATCGATTAGAAACAAAAGTTTTGCATGGCCATTGTAATTAACTTAAATAATATGTTAATTAAATTGTTAAATAATTATTGAAAAGGAGATTTATTTTCCAACTTGTTGGCACATGAATCGCTATTACTGCTTTTGGACAGTCTTTTCAGTCTCGTGGAACAACCGGTTTCTAAGCTCGTAAGACTAGTTTAAGTTTATTATATTATATTGACTCATCAATTTTAATGAAGGAGCCGGGCGAGCATCGCAAAATTAATTTCTCTGATTTAGGCTAAAGATCATTTTTTATCCTTTAATGTCATGAAACTCTATAATTTTTTTTATTTAGGAAACTATTTTTTATAATTATCTCAAATTATTTATCTTTTAATGACAAAATTATTTGATATGTTAAAATTGACTTATATATGTAATATATTTTTCTATAAATCTTATTAATTAAATTATATAAAATATAAAAGTATTATAATAAATTAAATTAAATTATATATTTTTTAATTATATATATATATATATATTTTTAATTATATATATATTTATATATTTTTTCAATTAAATTCTATAAAATATAAAAGTAAAATATTTCTCATTATTTATATATTTTTATTCACTTGTTCCATATTTTAAAAATTACTGCTTTAAATCGATTGATAATTGCTGTTTTTTTTAAACATAGTAAAAACGACTAATATAATGTATGCATATGCATAGAAGTTAAAGTTCATTAATTCTTGCGGATATAGTCAAGTGACGTTCAAGAAATCGATTATTAAATTTGTAATTTTGTGCTTAAAATGAAAACATGCGAAAATATATATATATACAGTCCCGAAACTCATAATTAATATTTCAAAGACAGATTCCTGGGATCATGAAGACGATTTTTCCTCAACAAAAATATCGAGGCACTAATAATTTTCGAATTATAAGTGATTAGAAATAAGGAGTTTTTCGTAAACTAAGCTTTGTAGAAATAAAATATTGACAAAACCACATTCTTCGATTAATTTTAAATAAAGTTTAATTTAGTTGAGTTTTAATTTAAGGCTTAATTGCAAAGATATATGATGACAAAAATCGAGAACATGCAAAAAATGATGGCCTTCATCGACATTTTTGCTGAGGAAAAATCGTCTCCAAATAATCCCAGGAATCTGTCTTTGAAAGATTGATTATGAGTTTTGGGACACCCTATATATATATATATATATATATATATATATATATATATTGTGCATAAAGTTACGTGAGATATTTTTTAAAATATAAACGATACCTTTCCTTTAATTTTCCTATTTTATACAAACAGTCTATGAACATCCCTGCCAAATATATGAAACAATGAAATTTATTTTTTGCCACACTTGTGAATTTTATATGATATCTGCATGTTTTTTATTTTAGTATGCTTTTAAATTTTGTAAAACGCATATCATGGGCGCGAGATACATTCACAATATATATACATACATACATAGATATCTATTTTATAGAATTTGCAAGAATACTACGTAAATAATAAAGCAAATTTAATAAAAAAAAAATGTGAAGACATGGATTTTTAGGCATTCATATTTGTATCTAAAAAATTCGATAAATACTTTTCTAGGAGAAAAGAAAAAAGGCTAATGTCCTTTGATATTTAAACGTAAAGAAGTTATCCGTGTCGTCTCTGGGATCGATACTGATCATTATTATTATTTGTTTTATTCTTTTTATTTTATTTTATTTTATTTTATTTTTTTTAAATTTATTTAAACTTCGTAAAACTTTTTAGCCAACTTCGAGAAGAGCAAAAGCTCTTGATCTTTGAATCACGAAAGTTGAAATTGAAGCAACTTTCGCGATTCATGCGTTATAATCGAGACGCAGTGCATCGTGACTTTGAACTCGGTGTCTCATCGTGCGTTCGATGCACCCGCATCTAAAATCCTGCGATTCGCGTGTTCCCCTCACCTCTTCACGGAGGTTACGTCACTAGTCTCCAGTTAGGCGAGGTCGGGATTAGTGTCGCATGCCGTATCCGCATCGCGATTTACTTTGGATTTTAATAATCGCGCGAGGATCAAGTTGACACTTCAAAAAAACGAGCACATCATTAATCATTACAGAATCATTCAGAAATTTAACGATTATTTTTAATAATTATTATTATTTAGATAATAATTTTTTAATGATAATATAATTCAATATAAATATCGATATAAAATTGATATGTAATCAGATATATAATAAATATACATGTGACAGAAATTTATTTTAATAGATTTAAATATTTACTGAAATATTTATATAATAAATATACATATGACAGAAATTTATTTTATTAGATTTAAATATTTTTTAGTAATAATTAATACAGTATTTAGGAAAGAAAATGATTTAGAAAATTTTACGAAATACTTTTTTATAATAAAATATATATTTATTATTCGAGTTCTATTTTAAACTCAATATGCCGTTTGAAACAAGCCATTGTCCCCCAATATAACGATCAATTTATTGTCAAACTAAAGCTTTTTTATTTAATAAATTGTAATTAATATTTTCATTAATTCACAATTTATAAAAAATTTATCAATTTATTATGAACATTGTTCCTTTGTATATTATTAAGGATGTTTTGTATGTACAATCCCAGCAAAAAGTAGCTGAAAATCAATATTGACGAATGTATCTACTTTTGGTGTATTTTGAGTAAGAAATTGTGTGGAATATTAAATTTGATTTTAGCTACAGCGCAGAGATGTATTTTTGAATATTTATTGCGTTTTTACTGAAATATTCCGAATTTTGTGAATCTAAATGATTACTTTTGGCAGAGAATTTCGCCTTGTGACAGATACATGGCTAACTTAATTGAATTATATTTAATATCTTTTTAACCAGTTAGTACTTGTATAATATTATTTCACCAAATATTTCCTCTGTATCTAAACTTTTGCAAATTTTCAACAAATTCTGAATATTATTTCCATGTGTTTTTGTCATTTGAATCGACGCGGTTATACGTTTCCCATAAGAACACATGTTAATTCGGTGCAAATTAAAATCCTTATAACTTGTAAACGCTTTAGTGACTCGATTTAAAAATTCTACTGAAGATTCCAAACATATGTAAGGACATTCTGTACAATTTTCATTAAATTCTCAATATTTTGAAAAGGTACAAAACATCCTTAAACAATTTCGATTTAAAAATTTAGTGCAAAGTCTCTGCTTTTCAAAAAGAAATATTCATTAAAACAGAAGTAAAATTTGAAGTGTGAATTAAAATTAGATGATCATTGATCTACGTCTTTGAAATTTAATTCTTCAAAATTTAATTAGGTAAAGATCTAATTTTTTAACATTCTCCTTATTCTGTATGATTAATATTTTACTATTTCTTAAAGATATTCTGTACAATTTTCATTAAATTCTCCATATTTTGAAAGTAGGTACAAAATATCCTTAAATTTCTGATATCTGAATTTGTCGTAATTTTCGTTTATATCTAATGTTGTTTTTCTGAGATTTAATTGATTGTTTCATCACGAGAGAATTTTTGAATGAAAATTCGGGCATGTGCGGAGGATACGAAAGCCTAAAAGCGACAGCAATACAATTATACAATTTATTTAAATTAAATTATACAATTTTCATTGCATTCTCAATATTTTGAAAATAGATACAAAACATCCTTAATTCATTAGATATATACAAACTATAGGAGTAATATTGCATGATCTGCTAAAAAGTTACAATTGTGATAATAAAACAAAAATAAAATTAAAATCTTACATATAAATTATTAGAATCTCATGTTTTATGAATTTTTTAAATTTGATTTTTTTCAAATAAGATTATACAGGTTCACAATTAATAATAATGTGTCAATTATAACAATGAAAAATCGTCGTTCATAAAATATGAATTCCCCGCTTTAGAAATACATTATTGTAAATACATTATCAAGAATAAATCTTGATACAATGGGTTAATAGGACGGGACGTTAATTATACCAGTGCATTGATAAAGTCGTAAAAAAAGCCAGAATTTCGTTGATACTTAATTCGAACGAATAATGTGGCGTATCACGAAACGCGTTAATCTTGTCGTCGATTTTTAATTTCCTAATGCAAAAGTGGCGAACGGTCGTTTCCTCGTATTACTCCGATGTGTGCACGAGGGGTAGGAAAAGAGGGGGTAGAAAGAACTCCTGGGAATTTCGTGTCAACACGCGCGTTTGAAAAGAGTGTTCACTGACCTCCGGTGCTTACGACCTATTCTTTCTTTTTTCGTGCTTCAGATCGCTCCCTCGGCAAAAAAGCTCTGGGGCGTGGACGAAGGAGGCTCCAAGGACGAAGGGGGTGTAAAAGGCGGTGGGACCTTGCTTCACCTGGGCGACCACCAGACGACCATGTGGCGAGATTCAACCTGGAGCACGTCAGGTACGATTACACGATTATGTGTATTGTCGACGGAAATCGAGTGCCTACTCTTACAAAGGAAAGCCGAGTATGGTCGAATGGAAAAATCGAAACCGTTTGGTTAAGACTCACAAATCCAAAACACGCCAATTCCATTATAACGTTCAAATAATGTATAAGCACCAACCCTACATAATCCTTGTTACGCGCAACATTGTACACTATTATTGTTAGCAATGATAAATAAGATCTTTTATTTATAATATAAGAAATTTAGCGGAAAAAGAAGAAAAATTGTTTATAAGAATTGCTTAGAATTTATTAAGAAGAATTGTAAGAAATATATATATATATATATATATATATATATATATATATATATATATATGCAGAGTATCCCCAAAGTCCCGGACCGATCGAGTATTTCATAAACTATGCACTTTAGAAAGAAATGTTTCAAACAAAAGTTGTATGGCTTGAAGGGGGCCATCAGATAGTGGCAATGATTTGACATGGGAGAGTCATTTGAAAGTCACGTGAAGATCACCGTCAATTTCTTAAATGGAACCCCCTATTTTTTATTACATATTCGTGTAGCTTATCTCGAGAGCTTTCCAAAACACTATAATAAAGTATTTCTTCATTGAGTACTTTTCGAGTTATGAGGCTTGAAATCATTTCTTAATTTTGCATAAACCATAAAATATCTAGTAAAATATTCATTTTTCGATTATCTTACCTTAATACTTTTATGCACAAAATAATGAGAGGAATCAGTGATGTAAAGAATAATGAAAGGAATCATTGGTGTAAAGAAAACATACAGTTGTTTTTAAGAAAAAATATGGAATTGTTAATTGCAAATTACATATTTTTTCTTAGAAATAACTATGTGCTTTCTTTACACTAATTGATTCCTCTCATTATTTTGTATATAAAAATATTAAGGTAAGATAATCGAAAAATGAGTATTTTACAAGATATTTCATGGTTTATGTAAAATTAAGAAATGAAACCTCATAACTCGAAAAGTACTTTATGGAAAAATAATTTATTATAGTGTTTTGGAAAGCTCTCGAGATAAGCTACAAGAATATGCAATGAAAAATAGGGGGTCCATTTAAAAAATTGAAGCTAACCTTTATGTGATTTTCAAATGACTATCCAAGATCAAATTTTTGCCACCATCTTCAGTCCCCCTCGAAGTCAAGCAACTTTTATTTGAAACATTTTGTTGTACATTCAAAAATAAAAAAGTTATTGGGGTGGGTAACTTAAAATGGCTCACCCTATATATATACACATATACATACACATATAACGAATTATTAAATTATTTAATCATTAATTTAGTTGATTGTTGGTCGAAGAAGATTGTCAAATAGGGTTGAAAGAATTGTATGTGAAATTAAATGCATACTGTTTCGATCAAAAACCAATGTCTCTGTTTGCAAAAGGTGATATATCGAGTAGGAAATATCGAGGTACGAAGCGCGATGCCGCGTATTTTACGTCGTACACGCTTATTGATTGATACAGCATTAAAAGAACAGCATGTAGATACACACATACGTAGTTTGCTCGCCGCTGCCGCCTTCTGCTGGTCCAGGGGGGCAGCGTCAAGCTTTTTCGCAGTATAATAGATGGATCGATTGAATGACAATATTGACTAATATTGTAAAAATATTAATGTGCAGTTCTGAAAAAGTTTCTTCAATACCATTTTAATTCTCTCGAGATAGAGTATTTTTATCTTGTTATTTCAAGATTCAAAAATTTTTATTTAATTATGTTCTTCAATTTTATAAAATTTAAAAAATTTTTGCCACATGCGATTTAAAAAGTAGACAAATTTGGGTGACTTGTTTGTATATATATCTTGAAATTGTATTTATTTTTAATTTGAATATTGAATGTCATATTTTGAAAACTTTTCCTTTTAATGAATCATCAATTGAATATAATTTGAACATTTGTCTCATCTAAAAATAATAATTGTTTCGAATTCTTGTAGTTATTTCTAATATTGATATTACAATATTTGATGTTGGCTAATCGAATTTTTTACGTGATATAATAATTGATTTATTTGGTTAAAAAAGTTAGATAAAAAAGAGAGATAATACTTAAATTCTCACATTAATATTTAATTTTGTATATAATTTTTGTCATTATTATTGTCGTGTGTCTGTTATTGTTCTTGAATTCTTCAGACACTCATAAAAATTATAAAATATTAGTGACCGACTCATTTTAATACGCTGATAAAATTTTTAAGTTTTAAAGTCCCCAGGAATACCAAGGAATATGAATACCTTAGAAAATGCAGTGAATGTCAAAGCATTTTACACCGCCCAGTGTATCAACCTGTTACATATTTATTTTCAATATTTATTTACAATTCTAAACTATTTCTAGCTTATTTATATTTAAATATTCTTGACATTTTTATTAATTAATTTAATATAATTGATAATTATTTTTTAATCTTACGTTTAATTATGTCAACATGTATCTGTTAGTCGCAATGATCTGAATTATACACGGGAATTATTTTGCTGCGATTTCAAAGCGTTTAATGAATGTTGAAGTATATATAGGACGCTAAGTGTACGTACAGGGTGTACACGAAACACCTGATTTCACATAAGAACAGTATGCCGGCTTTGGTGGCGACGGCGACGACGACGGCGACGACGGCCGCCGTGTGTGCGTCATACCACGATGGGTGCAACGCGGCTGTTACCATGGCGACAGACGCCCGGCATCAGCGGTGGGGGCAACGTCCCAACGCCCAGGAACGTACCTACTGATCCACCCTGTTAGCGAGCACCCCGACCGACCAACCCCCCCGACGACCATCCGTCCACCTGGGCCGCCGAGCGTTGTATTGGCGTCATATGGAGCCGTGAAGGGCGGAAAAACTTCTCTATCTATACGGAAGCCTAACGGAATCTCGTTCGATAATGCTCGGCGCCGCAGCTGCCGTCCGATGCCGGCAAATTGCTATTTGGATAAATTTCATTTATCGTTTTCTCTGTTCTTCCGTATCGATAGAATCCTCTTGCTTGGAGAACTGTCATTAGATTCTAATGGATATGCGTTAACGCACTGAGAAAAATCGTTTGATTGTACCAAGATATGATTGAAGGCATTTTGGTTAAATGAAACAAGAATTTTTGGTTATCATGATAAGACTCGATTTTTTATAACTAGAACATTTAATAGATTTTACTATAAGAATTTGATTATTTTCTGGTTGGATCTATAAAATTTCTTGTTACATTAATTTCTTTGCTTGCTACTCTTAACTTAACTTGTATATTTTTTTTCTCTTACGAGCAGTAGCCAGAAAGAGAATGCTAGCTATCTGATTGTGTGTTTGAGCTAGATCCTCTTCTTGCATCACTGTTTATCAGTTTAATATCTAACAAACTGAATTTAAAATAATTATTTAATAATCTCGATTGAATTTATGCAATAATCTTGTTGGAATTTAAAATATTAAACAGACTTTTGAGATTAGATGGAAAAAATTTTAGATGACTTGATGCTGGTGAGTTTAGTATTATTAAGCAAAAAATTTGGTAAATTTAACAGGAAGGAATTAATCAGATTCATCTGGTAATTCCTACAAGAATTTTGGTTCGTTTATTTTCCAACAGACATACTGGTTGAATCTATCAGAATTCTAATTAATGCAACCAGATTTTTTTCTTAGTACACTGTTTATAAGTTTAATTTTTAACAAACTGAATTTAAAATAATTTATTCAATAATCTGGATTAAATTTATCTAATAATCTTGTTGGAATTCAAAATATTAAACAGACTTTTGAGATTAGATGGAAAAAATTTTAGAAGACTTGGTGCTGGCGAGTTTAATATTATTAACCAGAAAATTTGGTAAATTTAACAGGAAGAAATTAATTAGATTCATCTGGTAATTCTTACAAGAATTCTGGTTGTTCATTTTCCAACAGACATACTGGTTGAAATCTACCAGAATTCTAATTAATACAACCAGATTTTTTCTCAGTGCGCGAATTGATTAATTTAAGATCGACAAAGAATCTCGTAATCGAAGGACTTATTTCTTAAGATTTACATCTTTTTTCATTGCATACTGCAAAAAATACAATTCGCATAATTATACAATAGAACAGATATACAACAAATAAGTTAAAATATGGGTTAAAATATAAAGAAATAGAAATAAATCCTGCGAAACCGTGTGCAAAATACGAAAGGATATTCTCTCCGTGACACGAATTCCTTTAGCGAGAAGTGTTATATATATATATATTTGTGTCTATTGATTCTTCTTTGTATTGACTCGTAGTTGTTGAGAACATTTACGTACACTCTCTCTCTTGTATTCCTTGTAATAGAAAATACTATTTCTTACAATCATTTATGTACGCAATTTTTTATCTTGATCCAATACATGTGATCAATTGAAAATATTTACTATTGTCAATATACGAATCTGAATCGTACATACTTGTACATTTTCCGCGAGTAAGATGGCTCTGATCGCACAAATAATTTTTGTAAACATTGACACGTATATTTGTCCTTTACAGATCATGCAGTGTCGCAGCCAATTTCAATGGGTACGGGTAGACGTGTGGGAGTTGGGACGGGATATCATCATCAAGCATCAGAAGTCGGAACAGTGCTCAGTCCCAGAAGCAGGTTAGTGTTTTCCATGTTTTGTACAACTTCCCGAATATTGCGCATCTTTGTCTGTAGAATTTAAACTCCAAAATATATAAGACAAGCGACATTTATTTCAACAGCGAACTTGATGGTTTTTAAATTAAATGGAAGAGATAAAAACCTTTCAATGAATTAAACTTTAATGGTACAGTTAGATTTAAAAAAATCTTATTATTTTTGCGCATTTAAATTTTTCGATTTTAAGTTAGCTTTAATTCTTGACATAATTTTAATTAGTATGTAATCGCACAATGATGAAATTATTAATGTCAAAATTATGAAATGTTAACAAAAAAAGTGCCCGAAAAATTGAGATGTTACAAAAAAATTAATTGTAAATTTAGGATACAAAAAGCCATATTTGAGACGAAAATTGCTCAAAGTAATTTCTATAATTTTTTTTATTAGTGTGCATATTTGGGTTTTAATCTAATAGCAGCTTGTTTTCTTTTTTCAGCGAAACAGGTGGTTTGGGAGTTAAAATGGTTGAATATGTTCTTGGATCGAGTCCCACTACACCAAAAGATTTGGAACCTCGAATGGTTTCTTTGAGATTGGTGAGTATTACATGCAGTGTATAAAAAATTTATTAATTTATGTATTACTTATGTATATACTTTAGATATTTTTATACACATACATCTTTCTATAATTTTATTTTTATTTTTTTATCATAGAATACCGATGTAGACAAGAAGGAAAAAGAGAAAGGTTCGGCAAGTCCCTTTGATAGTACAAAGGATGATACTGGTCCACAAGGTAACGGATTAGCATCTCAAAACGGTCTGGATGAAGATAAAGGATTCAAGTAAGTTTTATGAAATTTATTTTACGCTAAAATTTTTATTTTAATATATTTTAAACATTGTAAAAAATATTTAAAGTATATTTTTTTAAGTATAAAATCGTATTTAATATGAGTTTGATCATTTTTTAACAGAATATTTAATTAATTCGTCTTTTACAATATTTTAATGTGTAAAATTAAAACTTTGAATTTTAAAATAATTGTACAATTATTTGTATAATTGATCTTAAAATTAATTTCGAGATAGAAAAAAGTGTTTATTTCTATTTTTCTTTTTGAAGCTTTCTTTATAAACAATTTCTTTTATTAAGTCTAGTTTAAGATGTACTCTCTTTTTTGCGACATACTCATTAAATATCAATAATATAAATACTGATACAAGATAAATATAATTTTGTTAGAAATAATTCTCTAAATTGAATATATAATTAAATAAAAATGCGCAACGCCTATAGCCAGCTGTATAACATGATAGAGTTATCAAATCGTATATAAGTATTATTTTGTAGGAAATTATCCAAGAATTTTAATTGTAGCAGAAATCATAGGCAGCTATAATATTACCACTTCTAAGCAGTTGAATAACTCATCACGTATGCTGTTTATAAGAGAATACAATTTCTCATTTATTATATTCTATCTTAATATTTTTATATGTGATATCCATCGCGCAAGTGGCACGACGAAATAGCGTAATAATGATAACTGTCAAGGGCATGTTCTACACGCGGCCGATGACATCACATTCCCCGCTGTTTCCTTTCACGATAGCTCGTCGTCTGATTTCGAGCAATGTTGCGCCATCAGCAGCACTCAACAGAAAGCACAATCCACAATGATATTACCGACATTACCTTGCTTAAGGAACGCAACTTAAACTGCGTTCATGTAATGTGTCTGCTATTTCTATATTAAATTTTTTTATTTATTATTTTATATAATTAATATAATATAATAAAATAATATAATATATATATTATATTATATATATATATATATATATATATATATATTAATATATATATTATATATATATATATATATATATTATATTATTATATATATATATTAATATAATAAAATATTAAAATACATCAATTTTATCTATGAAATGTTTGAATCTTGAACTGTAATTTTACTTGTAAAATTTTATTCGAAATTTTATTTGAATTATAATTAATAAAAAAAACTATATTAAGAGGGAGAAACAAGAGATATATTGATATATAATTCGTTTCTTTTATAATAATTTTTATCTGAGATTAAAATTTATCGTTTCGTCATATTATAGATTTGAATTTCTCCCACTTAACGTATCGATTAAAGAGAAAAGTGGCGCAACTATAGGAATGCAGTGCTATTGCAGTTTTTGCATCGTTACGATAATGACATTAGGTCACCATTGATGACCGTCATTGACATGCATGAATATTACATGTTTTCTTTTCTCATGACATCGGTAACGCGAATTGTCTAACCTGCGGATTGCGTCCTGTTATGCAAAGCGCACCGTTACACGACATGCAATCAATTGCGTAGACAGAATCTTGCGTGGTTTCTTTGAAATTATTCATAGGATTGGTCACATTAGGATTTTTAATTCTTTCTTTAACTGCCTTTTACCAAGAAAATAATGATTTCTGTCAATTAGAGAATTTTAATTAGTAATAGAATTAATAATAGAATTAAATATTGTTTGTGTGTAGCAAGCCGAGAATTTATTAAATTTATTTTTAGGTCCAAAATTTTTGTGATAAAACAAAATTAGAAATATTATGCAAATATTTGTAACAGTAATCTTAAAATATTAACTGTCTTTTACCAAGAAAATAATGATTCTAGCAATTAGAGAATTTTAATTAGTAATAGAATTAATAATAGAATTAAATATTGTTTGTGTGTAGCAAGCCGAGAATTTATTAAATTTATTTTTAGGTCCAAAATTTTTGTGATAAAACAAAATTAGAAATATTATGCAAATATTTGTAACAGTAATTTTAAAATATTAACTGTCTTTTACTAAGAAAATAATGATTCTATCAACTAGAGAATTTTAATTAGTAATAGAATTAATAATAGAATTAAATATTGTTTGTGCGCAGCAAGCCGAGAATTTATTAAATTTATTTAGATCCAAAATTTTTGTACGAGAGATAGTATGCAAACAAATATTTGTAACAGTAATTTTTAAAATACAAAAAATATATATAAAAAACGCTGCTACAAATCGGATCAATTTTTTAACTGATATCTTATATTCCTTAAATATGTTCATCAGTCACGATGAGGTTTCCGACATTTGTAAAATGCTTGGAAAAATTATATTAATTATTTATATAGAAAATAAAATTATCATTCTTACGCCTTTGTACTTAGACATCAACTTTTTCAATTGTACATGATTATTATTGATAACTATTATTAAAATCGAAATGAGAAGGAGTGAGTGAAAATAGTTCACTTAATAATTTCTTTCACACTATTTTCATCTAACTTACAATTATGTTTTTTTTTCTTATTAATATAATTGATTTTTATATATTTCATTCATTGCAGCCGTACGCCTGGAAGCCGCCAACCATCACCGGGTGAGGAAGAATTTCAGAAGAACGCCGCCGCCACTTTGGCCGTGAGTGCTGGCAGTGGTGGCGTCGTGCTGCTGAAACCCGGGGTTGATGTTGTCGGCAGCGAAGAACATTTCATGGCAGCGTTTGCACCAGCACCGCCACACCATCTGCAACATCACCAGGCCCCGCCGACTCATCATTTGCAACATCCGCACTCGCACGCGGCAGCACAACTCTTCGGGGCGCAAGCTCCGCCACCGCCACAGGGTCCACCGCCCTCGCAACAACAACAACAGCAGGGTCCACCACAGCCGCAAGACACTACTACACATTTCGATGTCCAGGTAAGTAACAACAATTTGTTTTTTCTCTCTTTTAAATATTATTGAGCGAAGAGAAACTGAAGTTTTTTTTATTTTTCCCCCAATATTTTACAAAATAGGATTGCACTTTTAATTTAATATCGAGGATAAATTAAGGATATATAAAAGTATTACTTTTCGCAATTAAATAAATATAATTCTAAATACATATAGAATAGCAAATATATATATATATACATTAAATATGCATACAATATAGACTTTTTTCCTAGCAAATAATATATATTTAAAAAATTTTTCTTTTTATACTTCCTATAACACATTTGTAATGTCGTGTTTCATAGTTGTAATGCAGTTAATCTCGATTACGTAGTAAATGTTCATTCTCGAGAAATATATACTCGGTTTGTGTAACGGCTAGCTTTGTTGCCTTTTTCTCATACAGGTTTTTTTCCGGGAGAATTTTCTTAGTGCCCCACTCCAAAATTACCGGAAATGTTAGATGTAATCACTTAAGAAACATGTGAAACTTCCTAGAAAGAGTAGTTTTTACTTTCATTAATTTTTCCTTTATTTCTCAAAATGAAGAATGTAGCCTGTATTTAATAAGTTAATTTAGGTAGATTAAATTAGTATCTTTTTTCTCTTTTATATAAAAAAGAATTTTATTTGTTATACATATTTATTAAATATTAATAAAATTTTCCTACAACTACGTAATCGAGATTAACTGCATTACAACTATGAAACATGATGTTAATAAATGTTTTACAGGAAGTATAAGAAGAAAAATTTTTTTGTATGTATAATGTATATTATTTGCATCTCTCCAGGAGAAAATCTATATTGTACACATATTTTTCTGGCTAATCTATATATGTTTAGAATTATATTTATAGAAAAATAGAAAATCTTTATTATATACATATATATATATATATATATATATATATATATATGTATGTATGTATGTATGTATAATTTGTACATATATATAGAAAACATTTTAAAATCTTTTCATTAGAGATTTTTAAAACACTGCTATTTAAATCTCAAAATATCACTTTAGTTTTTGCTTAGCTAAAAAACTTGTTTATGCATTCTGATGATATTCGCTTGGTCTTCCACGTAATATGATAAATGTCGACTGTCGATGAAGATTACTGTGACATAACGCGGATTCAATTTCTGAATAGCCTTTCGTCCCAGCCGCATGACATGCGATTAAAGCATTACTATTTTCGAATAGAGCCACGTCGAAGAAAATAGCTATGTATACGTACATATGTTTTACGCACGTGTGTCATATGACGTACTATCCGCTCATGTTCGATGACAGAACCGATTCGTTTGGCTTCGGCACAACTATTGCATATGCTTACTCTCTTGATTTTTTTTTCGTTTCGCAATCTTAAATTATATTCCTTCGTTAAGTTTCGGAAATCGTACTTAAAAACTATGTTACCAGTTTGTAGACAAAATGTAAACTATATACGCGTTAAAAAATGAGAAATAATCGAGTAACTATAACAGAAAAACTTATATAAGGCTATATTATATGAAAAGAATGAACATTATTTTTTTTACTTTTATATCATATTTAATAGTAAAATTGATATATAATAAAAAAAATTATATAATAAAAAAATATTATAATTAAATAATTAATTATATATAAAAAATACTATATATAATTAATAAATTAATTATATATAAAAAAATTATATATAATTTTTATAAAATTATATATATAATTATATATAATTATATATAATTTTACATGTAATATATAATTAATATAATTTATTATATATAATTAAAAAATTAATTATATATAAAAAAAATTATATAATAAAAAATATATACATATATAATATTTTATAATTTTTTAAAATATCTTTAATTAATCTTTAATTAAATAATATAATTAAAAATATCTTTAATTATATCTTTATTATATATTTTAGAGGCTTTATATGTCCTTGTACATCTAATGTAACGTGACATAAATTATGTATGACATTTTGACCAAGGAAGTTTGAAGATTTTTTTTATCTTGCTAAATGTCTTTTCTCGTTTTTTTTTATCAACTGATGCAATGATACCGCGACCTTGATCGTGTAATATTCTCAAGAGCATACGTTTCTGCTATTCTGCCTTATAACAGCGGCCCTCGCATCGATAATAGGTAGCGATTTGCACGAATTTAAAAGAGGGGGACTGGCAGCGACGATCGTATAAATCATTGAGTGACAGTTTTTCGACGTGTCGACTTTGAGTAGCTATTCAGAAAATAGAACAGCGATATATCGGTATCGTGAAGCGTCTCGTCAGTGTTTATATTTGAAAACATCACCGAGAGCTACTACGATTACGTTTTTATTAATTTTTTATCGTTTGTACATATACTTTAATTATAGCGATCGATAATTTGCAAAGGTATGTAAAACATTTCACGCATAATTTGTAGCTTGTCCTGTCCGTGAATATTTCATACCCAAAATAAAAGTTCCTCCTCGAACATAAAAAGAGAACTGACTAAACGAATAAATTCCTTTCCGTCTTGATTGAGATTGATTAAGACGTCTTGATTAAGACGATGGAACCGCAAATAAAGGAAACACAACGGAACAATTGCAATGTTCTTTCTTGCCTACGGGAAATAATAACCACCGATGATTATTGTCGTGGGGGATAAAGTCGCGACCAAATAGTTTCTACGCAAGGAATAAAACTCATACACGTTTCGAGAACAGCCAATTGTCGCCAGTCATTGACTGCCAGTAATATTTTTTATATTATCGTGGCAACATATTTATATATTTATATAATTTATTTATATCTATTTAAAACACATTGCATGTGTACAATTATATTTAATATATTGTATTTTTAGATTATTTAAATTATATACTTTAATATAATACTTTTAATAATATATTTGAAATATATAATTGCAATCATGAATAAAAATTAAGATTAAATATATATTATTATTATTATTATTATTATTATTATTATTATTATTAATATTTTAATATTAATATTATTATAATTAATAATAATACTAATGTAATATTATTATTAATATTATTATTAATATTAATATTAATATTAATATTATTATTATTATTGTATTATTATTATTTATATTTTTTCGTAATTAAATAATCTAAGCATCAAAATATCTGCAATATATAATTTGCTGTTGTAATAATTCGTAAGTGATATTTAACTATAGGATTTAAAGTACCGATAGATCGTTGTTAACGCGATAGCAGAATACCACGTTACCAGTCTTCTTGAATTTCCTCGCTTCTCCCTTTACTCGTCTCACGGCTCGGTGAAAACGCAAAATGCGGCGCAAAGTCGTCGGCGACCGTGAACAAGACTAGATGTCTGGAAAAAGATAGACGCGACGTATTAATTTTACCTGACAGGCAGGTTCCACTTCCGCGAATATGCGCGGCGTTTAGAGAGCGAGTATTTTTTTTAACATCTACCACACTCACTGGCGAATTTTTTTTTTAAGGAGAAGAGAAGACAAGGTTTTTTAATATGTTTTACACAAAATACAAGACGTTAGATTAGAGACGAATAAAATATATTATACAGGGTGATTCATTTTAATCTTAAATATTTTGAGAAATATGCGAGATACGAAAAAATATTTCAGACAAAAGTTGTATGGTTTCAAGTTGGTGTCATTAGTTTGATCTTGAAAAGTCGTTCGAAGGTCACGTGAAGGCCACCCTCAATTTTTTAAATGGAACCGTTTATTTTTTATTACATATTCTTGTAGCTTATCTCGAGAGCTTTCCAAAACACTATAATTAAGTTAGTTTTCATTAAGTATTTTCCAAGTTACGAGGCTTGAAATCGTTTCTTAATTTTATCTTATAAACCGTAAAATATCTTGTTAAAGTATTCATTTTTCGATTATCTTATCCTAATACTTTTATGCACAAAATAATGAGAGGAATTAATTGGTGCGAAGAAAACACATAGTTGTTTCGAAAAAAAGAAAAAAAAATATGTAATTCGCAATTAACAATTACTTATTTATGTTTTTTAAATATTCGCCCATTAATATTAAAATGAATCACCCTGTATATGCAATCACACATACAAAGATAATGAAAAGTAGAAGGAGAAAACACTTTGAAAATTATTTTCTACATTTTTTACAAAATTATATATATTCCACAAAAATTACACTCTCACACTATTCAACGAGATAATGAAATACGTCCACAAATTGTCATTGTTAAACCCGCGTGCGTCTCTGCGTACCTCGGGGTTGCCTAACTCGGTGAAAAAAAAAAGAAAAAAAAAAGAGGAAAAAAAAAAGATCGACCTTCGAGTCTCCCTTCGCTGTCGCTCGTGGGGAGAGATTTTCGTAACGCTCGTCGCGCGGGCTGCGTGTGCGTGCGTCGTATATATAAAAATAGGACGCGCGTACGCGCTCATTCCGGGACGCATTATGCGCGCGTGCACGCGCGTTTTCACGGGGAAGCTCGGTGCGCGCACGCTTGGTGCCTTCGCCGTGTCTAACCGCCGTATATACCGTGCGCGCCCCCCCCCCTTGCCTCCTGCCTCCCCCCGCGGGGGAGAGCACGCGTGAGACGGTGCTCGCTCGCTCGCCTTCCGATCGTGTTATTACGCGAGCGCTTGTGCTCCTCGATGCATGAAGCGATTCCCAGACCTCGCCCCCCCCCTCCCGACTCCCCCTCGCCCTCCCCGCCTCTGTCCTTCTCCTCTCCCTTTTCCGTCTCTTCGTTCGCTCCTTTTTCTCGCGTGAGCGAGAGAGAGAGAGAGGAAGGAAGACGGTAAAGGTGCGCGCGTACAGCTGACAGATAGCGCGCGCGCGCGCGCGAGAGGGAGAGAGAGAGAGAGAGAGAGAGAGAGAGAGAGAGAGAGAGAGAGAGAGAGAGAACGGGTTGTTGACTCGCTGCCCATTCAGCATAAAGTGCAATGACTCTGCCTCCCCGATGAAAATCTGTATCATCGCCCGAAGGTTA